TCAAAGGACGATAACTGTGTACCCGGACCACTAGCGGTTCCCCATAAACTGATCTAATCACAAATTTGTACATGTAAATTGACAAAAAGTTTCCGAGTCAATAGACCATGACTGAGGGGGCGGGGCCAAATTATCTTCATGGAAATGAAATGAATGTACCAATGCTAATACAACTGCATACCAAATATCATTGACCTACCGCTAGTGGTTCCGCATAACCTGACCTAATCACAAGCTAATACATGTAAACTTACCAACAGTTTCAGTCAGTAGACCATGACAGAGGGGACAGGGCAAATAATCTCCATGGAAATGAGATGTGCCAATTCTAATACAACTGCATAACAAATATCATTGTCCAAACAATATTGGTTCCCCATAAACTGACCCTATCACAAACTAATACATTGTTGACACCGCAGCTACCGCTGGAAATAGCATACCTGTCTTGCTTTTAGACTCCATCATGTTTAGACAAAAAAGACGTGCATTCTTGATAACAGATCTAACCCTTAATAGTTCACATTTCATTAGTATTCACATTTTATACATGGGGTTCATGTTGGAGAAATGAACGTGCGTCATGTTTTCAGGCTTGTCTATGACATATACATTAAGGAAAGTGTTTTATATGAAGTAGAGAAGTATGCATGCAATATTTTGATATGATACTGTAAACATTGAAAAACCTTATTAAAATAATATTGATAATACAGTTGTTATTCATTTAGTAATATACATGGACTTTCAATATTATTTTAAGATTACCTAAATAAAATTTGTTGGCAATATTTCTTTATTCTAATGTGCATATACAACATTTTATTACAGCGGCTTGATTGTATGCATTTTCTAACTATTTAAATTCATTCAAAATTCTGACCCAATTGCAATTGGAATTTCATTTATCAAATCATAGATTGATTGATAGGTGTTTAACGCCACTTTCAACACTTATTGTGCTATTTCGTGCCAATCAGATTTTTATGTAGGGGGAAGCTGGAGTGCCTGCGGAGAACCACTGACCTTCCGTAAGAAAACTGACAATCCTAGTCAATTAAGATTGGAGTTGAGTCAACTGCTGTGGGAAAATCATTGTCATGTAATCAAAGTGCAAAGTGAAAGATATATGATATTATTACTTCTATGAAAGTGTTGCCATAATTTTTATAAACACATTTCTTGTAACGAATTATTTGAAAGGTTAGGTAGAAATTTTTGAATTGTTAAAAAAACTGTTAATTGAAGGTTACAAAAGGGAGATAATACAGCCCACTCAATACTTAAACTAGAGGCTCTCAAGAGCCTGTGTCGCTCACCTGTATATACTGTGGTTTTGGAAATCATGTTTAATAAGGTACAAATCATAATAAGTAGTATTAGATACCCTAATAATGACTGAGGCTAAGTTTGGTTTAATTTGGCCCAGTAGTTAAATTAAAAGAAGATTTTTGAAAAAAGTTAACAAAAATTACCAAAAAATTGCAGAAAATGACTTTAAAGGACAACAATTCCAATAAGATGTCAATTAATGATTTTGGTCATGTTGACTTGTTTGTAGATCTTACTTTGCTGAACATTATTGCTGTTTACAGTTTATCTCTATCTAAAATAATATTCAAAATAACCAAAAACTGCAAAATTTCCTTAACATTACCAATTCAGGGCAGCAACCCAACAACAGGTTGTCAGATTTGTCTGGAAATTTAATGGGCAGATCAGTCTAAACCAGATGAACATTTTACCCCATTCAGATGTGCTCTTAATGCTTTAGTTTCAGAGATATAAGCCAAAAACTGTATTTTACCCCTATGTTCTATTTTTAGCCATGTCATCCATGTTGGTTGGAAGGCAGGGTCATCGTACACATTTTTTAAACTAGATACCCTAATGATGGTTGTGGCCAAGTTTGGTAAAATTTGTCTCAGTGGTTTCAAAGGAGAAGTTTTTTTAAAAGATTACAAAAATTTAAGTTTATCTCTATCTATGATAATATTAAAGATAACCAAAAACTGCAAAATTTCCTTAAAATAACCAATTCAGGGGCAGCAACCCAACAACGGGTTGTCTGATTCGTCTGAAAATTTCAGTGCAGATAGAACTTAACCTGATAAACATTTTTATCCCGTGTCAGATTTGCTCTAAATGCTTTAGTTTCAGAGATAAAAGCCAAAAACTTCATTTTACCCCCCATGTTCTATTTTTAGCCATGTCGGCCATTTTGGTTGGCAGGCGGGATCATCGGGGATTTTTGTAAAAGTTAACGAAGACAGACGACGACGACGTCGACGGACGCCAAGTGATGAGAAAAGCTCACTTGGCCCTGTGGGCCAGGTGAGCTAAAAAGGGGGAATCAGTCATTTTAGATTATCTATTCATATTATGGAAACTTATTGACAACATATTGTACATTAAAATATATTTTATTCAATATTACAGGTTAACTGATGTATGATTCTTATAGATGTTTTTAAAGGAATACTATAAAAAAAAAAAATTGGACATTTTTATAGCAACTAAAAAATCACAAAGTATGCATAATTTTATCACTTTGCACTATGATGAATTTACTGTGGTTCTTATAAAACAGTTGGTTAAAATATCAGACCAGTTGGTTTGATTTGATAAAACAAATCACAATTGGGTCAAAATTTTGAATGCACTGCAATAGGTGGAGAGAAACACTTAATAATCTTCATAGTAAAAAGCCTAAGAAAGACTTACTTATGTATATTGTTGTTTTAAAAAGACCTGCTTGACCAATTAAAGCAATGCCTTTTTTTCGGCTGCAAACAGATTTCACAGTGCCTAGGGTTTAATTTCTGTATATCAATCAAAGCTATCTTGGTTCATAACTTTATAGTATATTTAGGCCCATCATTTTCATCAGTTTCATCTGGTTTTTTTTCAATGAAAATTTAGATGAATCAGATTGTGTTGATTTTGGGGACTGAACCCATAACCAATTATAATCCAAAGAGGTAATAATTTCAAAAGTTCAATACCACCAGTAAAATGAGTAATTTATAATAGACTTAAGATTTTGAAATTGGGTTACCTTAAAGACCACAACAGTTTTTTAGGTTCTACTTTCCTGTTGATCTGTTACTTGTAGATAACTGAGTAATTTAAATATCACAGCTGTGTCAGTTGTCACTTGTCTCGTGATTAATTGTGTTCAACAATTAAAGATGTTTGTCAATCCCATATTTATTAATCAGTAAATAGGAGTTTTCATTGTAATGTGGATATTTAACTGATCTAACTCACTTAAAAATATTGATGAATTAAGGAATAAAAAATCTATAATTTTCCATATTACAAAAACAAAAAACTTATCAAACTTTATGTCAGCTAGTAAATTTCTGAACAGCTTCAGGACTAAAACTTTTCTCTAAATTTTACATTTTCCAGTACTTTGAAATTTCTGCTTGCTCATTCTCAACGTCCTGTAAGAATCCTGTTTTTCAGAATTAGCTATATATTCTCTATGCATCATAAGAAAAACTTTTGATCTTTGAGTTATTTATTTTGGATCTTTCTTATAAAATATGAAATTCATTATGTTCAAACAGGACACATCACATAATAATACTAATATCACACACACTTGTAGCACTGTCGTCAAGGGGTTTTGTTCGTCAAAAAAATGAAATAAATAAAAATGTATGCTAGAAAACATAGTTTTCATTTCTAGGAAATAATGTATGTAAATTCACTTTATTTTTGCCATATACATACTTGAAATTTTATACTTCAAGCAGCCATCATAAAATTATGAATGGATTTCGATTTTACAAGATTATGAAACTGTATGAACACATTCTCACTGAGAACAACTCATACTGAACATTTAAATAAGCAGAAAATACAATAAATAAAGTCAACAGTGTTCAAGGCTCTGGTCCCTCTGATGCTTGGGCTTCTGGTGCTGCTTTAGCTGGAGCATTAGCGTCAGCTTGTTTCTTTGTACCCGAGACAATATCATCTATCCTCAATAATAACATGGCAGTCTGAAATCAAATGTACAATTAGAGGTAAACATGGGTGCATGAGGAAGACAAAAAATTCACTATGATTCTTGAAAGATAATATATAGAAAACCTTCACTATTTTTTCAGTGGTGAATGGAATTATATTTCAAGTTGAAGGGGGGCAAAATACTTCTATTCAAGTTATCTATAGACAACTATTCAAGTTATCTATAGACAATATATTTTTTTGTGAAAATACTGGTTTTTACCCTTTTTTGTCAGCTTTCCGAGATATTTTCCAGATGCTTCAATTCCTTTTGATTTATATTGAAGCTCTATCTTGAAAAAGAAATGGAAGATTGATTGATTGTTGTTTGCTTTACACCCATCGGCAAACATTTCATGCATATTTAAGACAGAATAATGTGAGACAGAAAAATCTATCTTTTCCTATGAGAGAAAAAATCATTTTGATATTCCATATCAGAATCAATAACTAAATGCATATTCAGGACGAGAAAATGCTAATGTGATATAAATCTAGACCCTGCTTTGTACTAGACCGACAAGATAAGCTTGATTTTTAACATGCTAGTTCACAAGGTAACAGTCAGCATGTAGTCTTGTCACTCTAACAAGACACATTCTTCTGACTGCGAAGTCCACCAGTCCTTGCTCTTGCTCCTAAATGCTGTGTGCTAGACAGAGAAGCAGCAAATAACCATTTTAAAGTCTTTGGTTTGAACCAGCAGAGGATTATACCCACAGCCTCTTTCATTCAAGGTGAAAATACTACCATGAGACCAACAAGGAGTTAAACAATACATAAGTATTTTACACTAAAAATGGAAAATAATCATGTACAAATATAGATCTTAGTATATACTAAAATTCTATTGCAGGAAAAATTCTTATGACCTGGCATACTCTAGGCCAGCAAGCTACCTGGGACCACAGAGGTAGTCAAAGATTTTTGACCTTATCATTTTGTATGTATTGTATTAAAGAAGTTGCTTTGCCACCTACCTCAAGTGCTGTTTTAAGTGTCTGAACTTTCACAGAGAATGGCTCCCAAATACCATATTCTTTCATGTCAACAATTTTACCATTTTCTCCATCAATACCCCATGATGTGTTGTCAGGGGATGCATGTTTAGCCTGAAACAGAATTGTGTAATGCAATCTTTTAATCATTTCTGAGAAAATAACTGCTGTACGAACAATAAGTTTGACGCTAAATACATAAGTGAATCAGAAAACATATTTTCAGGTAAAAAGCTATAACATTCCATCATTAATTAAACATCAGCAATGTGAATACATGAAAACAATTTGTTACTGTTTTTGACAGGCTATATTAATTCATAAATTATTTTCCCTTTCAATTTTGTTCTACATATATTATAAACAACTTTTTTCTACAACTTGATACCACCATCAAATTGTAATTTTACATTATAATACTGTTTAACAAGATGCAGGGTACCATTCTACTATATAATGGATTCTTACAAAATTCAATTTTCAGTCATAGATTTTAGCAATGATCAGTGAAAATTTATTTGGATAAGAAACAAATGATATTAATTTGAATCAAAGTTTCAAATGAATCGACTGATGCACAGTGTTTAGGCCAGTTAATTAAGAAGACTAATTGCAGACTGATCAATGTGTTTAATATGTTTTTGGTCATACTGAATATACTAACCCTAAGTGCTGTAAGGGTTCTAATTGGGTTGGCTCCACAATTCTGTATTAATGTACGTGGAATAACTTCTAATGCCCTAGCTACAGCCCTGTATGGCCATTGGCTTACACCTGTTATTGCCTTAGCTTTCTCATTCATAGCCTGTAAAGAAAAAAAGTCAAATAGAGATATTTGTACAATGAATCTATAAATCAAGTTCAAACAAAGCAAAAGATACAAATGGTCATATAGCTCACAAATATATACCCTTATTTTTTACTCTATCATAAATTTTATTATAATGTAGTATCAATTATGAATAAAAGAACTGAGTTCCAATGTCCCCCGCATTGCACATATTTTATCTATCCAAGGGCAATAACTAAAAAAAAACACTTTTTTTGTTCTTGAAAACAATTTATAAATATCTTAGAGAAATGAAGGCTTCAGAGCAAATGCAATGCAATTTCAGTTATAATTAATTTTTCTAAGGGTCATAACTAGTTAAAAACACTTATTTTCTAAAGTGTCAAAGGCATTGCTGATATAAACCTATGATATAAGTTTCATAAAATTCTGGCAAGAATATTACACATGAGAACGCTAAAGATGCAATTTTCAATATAATCAATATTTCCAAGGGCATAACTTTTAAAAATACTTGATCGGCACTGATTTTCGAACTTGTCAAAGACATTGCTGATATAAACCTATGATATAAGTTTCATAAAATTCTGCCAAGAATTGTACACATGAGAGCGTGAAAGATGCAATTTTCCATATACTAATGTTTCAAAGGGGCATAACTCTTTTAAAAATACTTGATCGGCACTGATTTTCGAAACTTGTCAAAGACATTGCTGATATATACCTATGATATAAGTTTCATAAAATTCTGGCAAGAATTGTACACATGAGAACGCTAAATATGCAAATTTCCATAGAATCAATATTTCAAAGGGGCATAACTCTATTAAAAATCATTGATCTGCACCGATTTTCAATCTCATCCAAGACATTCTGATATAAACCTATGATATAAGTTTCATAAAAATCTGGCAAGAACTGTTCACGTGAGAGTGCTAACAAGACCGGACGGACGCACAGATGGACCGACGAACACCTGGCATTTCTATATGAAAATTAATGAATAATTATGATATTAATTTGTCAGCTCCTCCAATATACAATTTTACTCTATTACTATGCATTTAATAAGTAGCCACTGCCTTCCCAATAACTGATTAAAGTCCTCAACATTACCAGAGCCTAAACTTTTTCCTCACCTGAGCTAGAGCCATTTCTGCAGCTCCTCCACCAGCTACTAATTTAGGTTCTACCATCACATTTCTAGCTACGTTCATTGCATCTTGTAAATTTCTCTCTACTTCATTAAGGATATCTTTACTAGCACCTCTCAGTAAAATAGTACATGCTTTAGGATTTTCACACTCTACCAAGAATGTAAAATATCTGAAAGGTAATAAAAGATTTTTTTATATTCAATTGTGTATAAGTTGTATTGAATTAAAAAAAAAACTCAACAGTTTCTGTGCTTCAAATGCCTTTCAATGTCCAAAAATCACAGTAACAGATCTAGAGTTTTTATATTGCATATATACAGCATGTGAAAATATATCAAGATTACACACAGTGGTAGCATATATAACACATCACTAAAACAACGTTTAGTGGCAATTCATTGCAGTATACTCTGTATATCACTAATCATGATAATTTTAGTACAATATTTTTCTTATTCTGATAATTGCAACAAAAACATTGCAGATGAGACTGTTAAATTAGGATCAGAAATCAAGAGAATTATAACTTTAACAACTACTCTCCAGGAAAACAATTTACATTGCCATTTAAAACTGCCATATTTTGTATATCAAAATGGAGAAAGAAAGGAGTAGAGCCAGGAACCCCAATAAACGGCCCTGTAAAGGTGTTTTTTTCTAACTTCAATTATTGAAGTAAATCTAATGGGTATGCATTGCTAAATGTATGATATTTAAAAGTATAAAACGAAAATTGTATATCTGCTTCATATTTATTAATATATTAGCCTGAAATAGGAATAGATTTAATTTTGTCAATTTTTCTAGAAATTTGTCAATTTTCCACCTTTTTTCATGATTTCGTATGTGGCGCCACACCTCGCCCATTGAAATTTTTATTGAAAAGTAAAGAATATGGTATATAAAGAATATTTCAGCAAAAATATTTGTGGGTGAAGGGTAGCGCCACTGTTAATTTTTCAGAAAACTGTCATAAATTTTGCAGAATTCTGCCAAAATCAGATTTTTACGAATTCCCCTTCATTATGACGTCACTAATGACACAATTGGTGAAAATTTATTTTTTAACTGAAACAATTGGACATTTTAACATATGTTTCCCTGCATTATCACAGTGAAAATTTTTCAGATTTGTAGGGCCAAAATTATGACGTAGTGGACCAACTCCTTTAATTTTAGCTGATGCAATATGAACAATCCTTAATCAATATATAAAAGGTATCTAACTTTTGTTCTTACATTGATAACTTTGCTATACATGTACTGTATCATAAACTTACTCATCTCCAAACTTCTCAATGTAGAAAAGTCCACAGCCAGTACCTAGATCATCTTCTTTGATTTCATCAGTTCTGTTCACAATTGTTGCTCCACATGCTCTGAAAAAAACACAAAAATTAAAATCAAACATCATTGTTGTTATTAGTGATGTATCAGAACGAAATAACACTTACCCCCTTAACATTTTGTTGATTTTCATTGCATTGATTTTATATTTTTCACTTATTACAAAAAGAAAGATGTAAACTAGCACAATTGTTTTTTCTTGCTCTTTATTCTTCAGTTTCTTTGAAAATTTGGTATAGCAAATTTTACACAATAATTACTTTGAATGTGATCAGTCTTTAAAACTTATTATATAAAATATTAATCACATTCAGCCATGTCTTTATAAATCACCACCTCAAATTTACAGATACCGTAAATTGGGTTATTTTGGTTGTTGTTTTATTTTGGTTTATTTGGCACCTCCAAAGAAAGTGCCAAAATTAAACACATGAAAATACATAAACACTAAAAATTTAAAAGCCAAATTCGCGTACCGGCATGACAATATTGTATGTTAATTGTTGGCATTAATACCTAAGTACATGTAGCAAACATGAAAAGTGTTCCTAATGCAGGTAAAAAAAGTTCCCTCCAGTGTTTATCTTTAGATGATAAAAGAGAAATTACAGGTAAATATTTTATGCTATTATATCTTTCGTACATTTCCTACAGTTGCATACATGTATCAAAATCTGCAAATAAATACCACGTATAATTTGACAACAACACTATAATTTAACTTAATTGTCAATTTTCTAAAATTGTAATAAAGAAAACACAATATGAATTTCTATTCACACATGTTATAAATATGCCAGGCTATGGACATTGCTGATTAGACGCCTTTATTGATAATTAGAATATCAACAGTCCTTGTAACCCTTGATCTTCAATAAATTAACATGTACTGCCAGAGGTATAAGGATTAAAAATTAAATCCTTGATCGCCAATAGATAAACATTAATATAAGAGAGATAATGATTAAAATTTATTTCATATGATATTTGTAATAAATAAATTATAGTTCACTACTATTGTGCCAAAATTAAACACATCAATAGGACAAAGCACCAAAATTACACACACCAAAATAAAACGCATGCCTTTTGAGAGAAAACTGCAAAAAATTTCCCAATTCACGGTATTGCATGTAGAGGCAGAACTTTGATATACTGTAAATTCAGAAATTATTGTGAGGTTTTTATTAATGCGAATAATGCGATTGAGTGAGTATCGCAATAATAAGAACTCACATTCTGATATCTGATATAAATAACTGTATGCAGATTGTCATGCAATCGCAATAATTAATCTTGCATTTTTGTCCTTTCCACAAAAATCACAATAATAAATGCACGCTATAATTTCTGAATTTACAGTACTCAGGCTGATTTAGAGCTAGATACATCTTAAAAACACTGGTCTATTGTTGAAGACATTGTTATTGACCTCTTAGATACCTCTCTGTTGTTTCTGTTGTATGGTTGCCACCTCTTATCATATATACCCTACATCATATTTTATTCATATCTAGTGCCCTCATCAACATCTCACCTTGCTATTCTGTTATTATCAGATTTCCTGACCCTTCGTATCACACTTATTCCTGCTTTAACAAGGAAATGTTGAGCTAGATCTGAGACACCTTTCTCTGTAATTATCAAGTCTGGTTTGAATTGTATTACTTCAGCACAGATCTTTTCTATATAGTCTTCTTCCATCTTTAAAATTTTCCTAAAATAAAACAAATAATAATTCATTTTTTGCCTAATTAAATTTTGGAATAAAAAAAATATTGGGAATGTGTCCATGGGACACAGATGATGCCCCCGCTTGCATTTAATGTTATAAAGGGACATAACTCAAGAACTGTAGAAGTGACACTACCCAAATTTTTACTTGATCTGAGTTTTGTGGTAATAAGCATTGTGTATACGTTTCATAACATTTGGTCGAGGCAAACTTAAGTTAGAGAACGGAAACGAAAAAACCAGCAATTTTTCCATTTGTAAAGGGGCATAACTCTAGAACAGTAATAGTGATGCCACCAAAATTCAAACTTAATCTGTGTTTTGTGGTAATAAGCATTGTGTATAATTTGGTTGAGGCAAACTAAAGTTGGAGAATGGAAATGAAAAATTTAGCAATTTTTCCGTTTGTAAAGGGGCATAACTCTAGAATGGTAACTGTGACGCCACCAAAATTCAAACTTGATCTGTGTTTGTGGTAATAAGCATTGTGTATAAGTTTCATAACATTCGGTTGAGGCAAACTAAAGTTAGAGAACGGAAACCAATTTTGGGATGTACAGATGGATGTACGTACAGACGGACAAGGGTAAAACTTATGCCCCGAGGCATAAAAATGCTTTTGATAAAATATAATTCTCAGCTTAAACCTTAAACCTCATTAATTTTCTTCTCACTCCAGCAAAAAGAGCTTTGAAAGCAATACATTGCTGCATTATTTTTCTTTCAAGGGTAATCATTAACAAACTCAAATAATAATATCCATGTCAAACCATCAATAACATAAACCATTTCTATTCAAAATGGAAATTTAAAAAAGAAAACTCACATTTAAATTTGTCCTATTGAAAACAGAGATATTACTGAAGTTTAAATTGTACTATGATAGCAATAACATATCAGTCTTTGCTCTTTGTGGACAAGCAGCAAATACCAGTTTTCAAGACTTTTTGTTTGACTCAGCTAGGGATCAAACCCATGATCGACCTCCTGCACTCAAGGCGAGCAAAAAGACCATGAGATCAACAAGGCAGTTAAACAACTTTCAGCACACATTCAGCATTTTGAACACAATATGAAGAGGAGGCTTAATTATAGGTAAATATAGATCTTAGCAGCATATCACTGCAATACATCAATTATATCATACTTACGTAAAGTCTTCTTCTTTCGTTATTTCTATGTTGGTCTACAAGATAAAAATACACATTAAAAGGATAATCAATGGTGCTAACTTTTGTTGGATCTTTTTTATCAATAAGGTCGATTTACTCGACTAAAGAAATCACTTCCTATTAGAATGATGTTAACTTCAAGTTATGGTATATTTTCATTAATTATTTGAGCAAAAGTTTAAAATATATACATTAAACAGATGAAGTACTTACTTCAAAATAAGTATATATTTATTATCACATTGGTTGCAATGAATTATCATGATTTCGAAGTGAAATAAAAACTGATAATTTCACATGTAAAATAAATCTGATAAATTCACTCCTCTGATGTCATACAACAATGAGTGTTTTCAAGATGTTGTCAATGATGTTGCATTAAAACAATTGAGAATGAGTATAAAAAGATATAGTCCCTTTCATTTTCTACTTTATTTTCATTAGAAAGTCCATGGTCAATCTAATAAAAAATAAAATGCTTCGCTGAGCGCAGCCTGATACGACCGCAGAGGTTGAACCCTGAACAGTTGGGGCAAATTTGGACACAATATTCAAGCTTGATACTGTCTGAATTTGGATTGTAATCAAACTTTTGACATAATATAGGTTTCTGACACAAAATAAATGTGGTCAAAGATCTTATAAATCCATTGCGCAATACTGTGCAATTGAAGATTTCTTCTTGAAACTTTTCAAAAATTCGAAATTTTAAAAATTTTGAAAAAAAATATGAATCCCTTAAAAAAATTGGGAAAAAAATTCCCTCCCCCCATCTTTTTGAAACCCCCCTTGGAGCAATTACCCCAAAACTCAATCCCAGCCTTTCCTATGTAGTATGGAACCTTGTAGTACAATTTCAGAGAGATCCATACACTTAAACACAAGTTATTGTCTGGAAACTAGAAAAATGCTTGTTTTTGGCCCCAAATTCCTACATGTTTGGGGCAATTAACCCCAAACTCAATCACAGCCTTCCCTTTGTTATATGGAACCTTGTGGTACAATGTCAGAGAGATCCATACACTTGCACACAAGTGATTGTCATGAAACTAGAAAAATGCTTGTTTTTGGCCCCCTTTTGGCCCTTAATTCCTAAACTGTTGGCCCCATAACCCCAAAAATGAATCCCAACCTTTTAATTGTGGTATTAAACATTGTGGTACAATTTCAGAGCAATCGAAATACTAATACACAAGTTAATATCCTGAAACTAGAAAAATGCTTTTTTTGGGCCCCTTTTGGGCCCCTAATTCCTAAACTGTTGTCACCATCATCCCCAAAATCAATCCCAACCTTCCTTTTGTGGTATTGAACCTTCTTAAAAAATTTCATAGAGATCCATTCACTTAAACTCAAGTTATTGTCCGGAAACCAATGTGTCTTCGGACGACGACGACATCATACCATTATACGATCCCAAAAAATTTTTTGCGGTCGTATAAAAACTAATCCAAGAATTAAAATATTGAAAAATATTCAACTTGTGTGACTGATCAACACTAATAATTAACTCATGCGCTACACCCATTCGTGAATTAATGTGTTTATATTTACTCTTTGAATATTTTTCTATATTTGTATTCTTGGATTAGCTATTCTTTAAATGTTTGATCCTGTGTCAACAATAACATTACATGGAAGAAACATATTCTCCCATAACACCATTGTTCATTTTAGAATTTTGAAAATAGCATATCATTGATGTTCATTTCTAACTTATTTTATTTCTTTCCTGATATGAACTAAATATGATGGATTCTTACCTGACTTTCACCTTTTTTATATTCTAAATTACAGTCTAATAGCAGTATTTTAGGTTTCTCTATTCTCCTGTAAAACAAGAAAAAAATCCATTTCAGACTTTTTGCAAAATAATTTCAGACAGACCCAAGAACTAAGTCCTGCATTAATAAGAATTTTAATTGAAAAAAAACACAAAATAACTTTTTCATCCAGCTTTCTCAATACCGTGTTTTTTCTGGGGTTTTTTTTTAACTTATTTTTAGAAAAAATATAATTTTTCTTCCTTTTTATCTCAGAACCAACTTATCAACAGAAATCCTGCATGTATGAATCAAGTTAGAAAACTGTATGAAGAGGCTGTTTTGGTTTTCATTACATATTTTAGTGTCATTGTTAAAGAAATCAAGGGTCTACAGCTTCTATACAGCACAAGTATAATAAAGTTCCAGGACTAACGGTCTATTTATACTGTGATTTGGTCTAAATTTACACACTAAAGAAACCAAAACAAATTCACTTACAGATCAATGGTTTAACAGCAATTTTCAACGAAGATAAAAATCAAAATGTTACTTCTTGTTTTAATCCTTAGACTGCTGCATTCATTTCTATTGTACTTTTGTGTATTGCTGAATAAAATTTAATCACCGATGAGATAAACATGTTTACTTACAATTGCAATATCTTTGTAAATATTGAATATTCATCAATAAAAGTTATATAAAAAAGTATTGCTACCGTTCCTACTCGCTTATTAGTCGGAAAATTGGGAGTAAAATTCATAATCCAGAGAGGGGGGCCGACTAATAGACGAGATCTAGCGACCAGAGGAAAAATCCAAGCTTGAGAAAAGTGGTCAGGAGTGAATTTCCTGGTCAAAACTACGTTTTTGATTGCCAAACCTACATAAATCAATAAATAAAAAGTTTTTGTTGAAAATAAATGACTTCAATACTGTCTTTGTGTTTTATTTGTTCTTTGGTAAACATTTTCTGCAAATTCGTGTTGAAATTCTACTGTTTCCGGTTTGTGTATTGATTTTCATGGTCACATGGTTTTCCTATAAACCCAAAAGAAGAGCCAAGAACCAAAAATGAAAAGGAGATAACAATGTACCAAATATGTGAAAGGATGTTTTCAGCGGAGTTATTGTGTCATTATTGTGATATCATGATATCAATTCAATGCTTATAAATCATATAATAATCAAAAAATAATTTTAAGATTCATTCCCAAAATCAAAATATTATTCATTATAGTGTCTCAGGTAAACAAAAATTACAAAATTGATTGACAAGCCAATATAATCCATTGATAACCCCAATTAAGAGACAAAGAGTTGTTTTCACTAAAGGTGTGAAAACTATCAGTGATAGGTAAACAGATGACACTAATGAGTTGGAGTTAGTTATTTTAATATATTGATTAGCTTCACTTAATTTTTTTAATCCTTTAATCATCACAATATAATAAGAATTATGAAGTGTACATGCTCATTCAACACCGAGTTATGTATGCTGTGAAAAATATTTTCATCAAGTGTTGATTGACTTTAAATTTTTCAGGTTCATATTGGTTTATATTCGCTTTTCTCAAACAATAGGTTGTTAGTCATACCCTACAAAATCATTGATGCATTACGTAAACAACACATGGCTAATCTAACTTTGAACAGTGAACAAAACAAGAGAAATGAATACATCTTTATTATTAACAGCAATATAAATTATCATGATGAGCATCAACTAAATTCAAACCAAACAAACATTAATGCAGAAATGAATATTATTCCTGGATTTGCATTGCTTTTACCGGCGTTCAGTTACTGTCAGCTGAAAAAAAAATGCCCAAATTTTGTCCGACTTATACGAGGGTCAAGACTAAATCCTTAGAATTTGGAGCTGAAAAGGGACCCCGACTTATAGTAGGATCGACTATTAGGCGAGTATCTACGGTATATTCTGTATTTTTTATTTATTTTATTTTTGTGTGAGTCTCTGGTCATTTATTACATGTACAGGTGCAAATAGAGGTAAACAAAGGTAAATTTTTTTTTCATGTTTTATTAACGCGAATCCATCAATATAAAAAATCCATGACTTCAGAATTGAACCAATACTGTTAAAAATCTCTTATAAATCAAGTTTCCATTGCGATTATCAAAAGAAAAAAGTTGCTTCTCGGACCAACTGTTTTTTTTTCATGCAACTATTTTCCGTTATTTTCCTTCCGACTTTCACTTCCATGTACAAATGTGTTTTAACAACAAGTTCATTGATATAACTTTCGTCAATAAATAATCTTGACAAACATAATGTTTGAATCTATCGATGTCAGTGATCAATGTTGATTCACAGTTGAAAGGCACAATGATAAACATCGCAAATCCTGTTTCATGTCATCCATTTCGAACATCGTCTGGGGAATCCCCGTGGTTCCCACTTTAAAAGTCTTCTGTTCGCAGTTTTGCTAGAATGTTTCTATTTCCATCTAATATATCTTGTGTTCTTGTCCAAATCATTTAAATTGGCCGCCGCTGTTACATCGTTATCATTGAAATACTTCTGAACGTGTTGGCCATCACTCCAAACAATTTCCGCCATTTTGTTATTTTTTTCATCTAAATTTTTCACTTTCGGTTTCATCGCTTATACCTGATTTAAAATCAAGAGAATCTCGAAAGTACGCCGAATTTTAACCAATCAGAATCCATACAAGTCTAAACTGCCGTAAACTCATGAATATTGACTCCGCCCATTCCATGGTAACTGTGTAAACAAATGAGATACGGAAACGACAATAGTCGTGCGTAGCAGTAGCGGACTGCTTTATCGGAACAACAATAGTCGCGCGTAGCAGTCTAAGGGTTAAAAATACTGACCTTTTCATTTTTGGATGAACAACATCTTTGTTTAACATTACACCCTTTAAAACTTGTGAATCTTCTATTGTTCCTCCAGGTATCTAAAAAGAAAGTATGGTAACAAAAATTATTCGTGTTTCTGTCTTTTTATTTATTGTAATGTTCCAATGAATGAAAGAGCAAAAAATATAGTCAAGTGAATCAGTTTGTCTAAAAGCACTGCGAAAATTGATTGCTATCAAAGAAGAAAAAGTTTGATCAGAATTTTTGTTTTAAATCCTGAAGGAAAGAAATCTGCATATTCATCAATCATTATCTTATCCTTGCTCCTATATAAAGAGAATTCACAAGTATATAACCTGTTTACACTACAATATTGCAATTGATTTAACAGAACCAAATGATTTGATTTTTTATTTTTGGTGCTTTAACGCCACTTTTAAGCACAGCTTTTGGGCTATTTCGTGGCGGCCAGTTTTTATTGGTGGAGGAAGCCAGGGTGCCCAGAGAAAACCACAGACCTTCGATAGGAAAACTAGTCAATTAAGATTGGAGTTGAGTAAACCCGCACGAGCGGGGGTTGGAACTCATAACCTCAATGTTGACTGGCTAGTGATTACAGTAGTAACTACTTAGACCACTCGGCCACCAAGGCCCCCAGAACCAATGTAAATGTGAAGTAGTTTATATATGAATTCATTTATACCATGGGTACCTCAATTCACTTCAGTTATAACATAAACATGGTCTATCTGTTTTAGAATTATTTAATATTACCTTTTCTACTTTTGCATATCTCTTAATATCAATTTCTTTTCTACCATTTTCTTCTAAAGCTACTGTTGCTGTTGCATCTAATGCTATGTTACAAGCTAGATCAGACCTGAAATTTTTTTTTAAATATTCTTTGTTGAATATAATAAGCAATAAGGTCAAATATATGTAAGCTTGACATTTATTACCTAAGGATTGAAAAAATACGTTTTTTTTTCTAACCTTACCTACCATACAGTTTTTAGCTTTATTTTTTAACAAGTTCTATGAAAGTCTAAACTGCTGACCATCAAATTTGTTTTACTATATATATAACTAACATTTAAGAGCAGTGTTCTCCCCAGATATTTCATATAGCATCCTGGTAAACAGGAAAATTCAAAATGCCATCTTGTTTCTAAACATTATAGCATCACATCCATAACACAATCTATAAGAAAATCAATTCAGATAGCATCACATTCAAGAAATGTAGCATCACATAACCATGATGATAAAAGGCCCTGGGGAAAACACTCCAGAGTATATAAATCATGTAAATAAAACTTTAAAATATAATTTGAAAACAGGTTAAACTTTATATACAGTTTGAAAACAAGTAAGTGAGAAACAAGTCACAACAGTTTCAATTTATCCCAATATTTTTCCTGATTGATTTTTGACATTTTTTATTTATCTTACCATTTACTTATAAACTTTGTTCCAACACAACTATTAACAATCTTCAACATTTCCTTTCTGTTAGTTGTGTCTACTGGTACACTGAAAAATAAAGATGTAATCAGAAATAAAATTTAGCATCCTGAAACATTTTTTGACATGAGTAGTCATTTAATGAAAAATATATCTTTGATTTAGGAATGTTTTACAGTCCAAATTTCTACGTTGTTTCTTCAAAATACAGCAATACTTTTATTAAATGTGACTGACTGTTTACTATAATATCTGGTTATTACTTAATACACAAGGTGATTAGGTTAAAAATTACTCCTGGTTGTATGTTCCATAGTGAATTCTGGTGATTATGAGTGATTTAATCTTCAAAATATTTATGTGTACTCAACACCAGCGAGTGTTATTCTTAATTTAATCACACTGAATTTACCATAAATTCACTTAACTTTTAAAATTAAAATAAAACATATACATATATATAGAGAGCAGCAAAGGTGACAATTGAAGTTTTAGATATCTTACCTGACTTTATCTCTAAGTAGATCAACCATATCTTCCAATGCCTGTCTGTAGGCACTGATGATAACTGTAGGGTGCATCTGTTGTGTCAGGAACTGTTCAGCTACTGATAGCATTTCTCCAGCTGCAAATAATATTCAAAATGGTATTTCAAATTACTGTCACTTAACTAAATCAATTTATTTATTTTTGAATTCTTTGAACCTTTTTCTCATATAAATGATGAGCAATCAACTAGATGTCTTATAGGTTCCTGTGATATTGTATGGTTGCTGTATCATTGATGTTTCATGCAATCCCTTATCATACTAACACTAAAGAAGGGGTCTTTTTTGTTAGTATGATCCAAAACACCATGAACACATAATAGAAGATCTAGGCAATAGGATTTGTTTTCCTCTAAGAGAAATCCATTAGAAAATTATTCATTAGTTGAGTGTTAGCTATAAGTTCGACCAAAATGTGATTGGTTTAACCCAGTAATACAACAGAATCATTTTATGTTAATCTGTTTGTTTGATATTTGTGCCACAAATTTGATATTTTTACAATTTACAGTTCAACAGTCATTATTCCATGGATCTCTGATAAACATTGAAATATTTAACAAATTTCAATCTAACAAAATAAAGCTTTTTAACCATTAAAGTGCCTGTGAAGTTTTGCTTTTTTCTTTAGATCAAACAAGAATATCTTGTAAGGCATAAAAAAGATTAAGCAAAGTAATCAAACGAAAGTACTAAACTTCAACCAATGAAATACTAGGAAAACGAGAATCATATATTAACAGTGCAAGAAAGCACACAAAAGCAAAAATGAGACTATATCTACCTAATATAATAACAGATGTAGTTCCATCTCCAACTTCTTCATCCTGTGTTCTTGCCACCTCAATCATAGATTTGGCTGCTGGATGTTGTACATTAATCTATAAATTTATATTTTGTTATGATAACTGTTTTATATCAGGCTCTAAGTTGCCAATGAATAAAAATGTATGTGAGTTATGTAATCACTTAAAGTGTAACAGGCATATTCAAATCTTCCTTACTTGCTAAATGTGTATGCATACATGAATGTACCTCTTGTAGTGATATTTTTGCAAAAGGGTTTGCACAGCAGGCCACCTGAATTTTCTTTCAGCTTTCACTAAGTTCAATTTGTCCTTGAGATATCTTTTTTAAATGACCAGTAGAACTGAGAAACCATTCTGAGATTTTATTTCCCATTTGCAAATGGACAGGCATCCTTTCTACATGTACCTTTATGGTTATTCAATTCAAAAGTTCAAATAGCTAAATATATCTACATGTACTTTACAAACTGGCTGTCTAAGCTACTTTCTGTCAATTAAAAATGTTAAGAATAAAAACTTTGCAAACACCACCCCTTCAGAATTCTTTTTATCAGACTTAACAAAAAATTAAAGGAAACACTAACATGAATGAGTATCTAATACACTGAATAAAGTTTAATATTAAATACCAAACATCATACAATAAGAATTAATCTATCATCTTATATCAAACATTTACATGTATAGCCATTTTTAGGTCACTCCTTACTTGGGACAATAATAGGCAATATGCTTATAATAACTTTAATTATACAATTTCAAATATGTATTACCTCTCTTAGTATAGCATTGCCATCATTTGTCATGACTATACCACCCATAGGGTCCATCAACATCTGAAAATATACATCATAGATGTTAAATCATTTCTCCTCCATCTATTCTAGCGGAACTCATTGAAAAATCTCTGAACCTTGATACACTTAACCATGCTCATTAAATGAAAACAGCTTCATGTATAAGAAATATTTTAGTAACTTTTTTGAAATTTTCAACATTAATTCTATATGCACCTCCATGTCTTATGCAAAAAGGTTTATTCAATAACTGGAAATATCATATTTAGTATTTACTCTGCTTCTAATACTCCCATGTGTCCTATATATCTACATATCAGCTTATCCATCATGTCCATATATCATGAATATGGTATAAAGGAAAATACAGATATGACTTTACAACAGTAAGTTGTTTTTTTATTGAAAAATATTGTGTTTAATGTAATTGCATATATCAGTGAAGGTTTTATGAATTTTACTGGACATTAAGTAATCTCCATGTGACAAAATAATATTATATTGAACTGGCAGAACATCAGAACAACTTTGTTAGAAATAACTGTTTATCATTATATATTTCAGCAAAATAGAATTAGTGATTCTAAAAAAATATACCTTCAGCATGGATCTTGGTCCTAGACATGTTCTTATTATGTCTGCAATGGCCTGCAAAATATACAGTTGATAATAGTACACACATTTGATAAAAATATCTGGTTCTAGGTTACTTTCTATCAAATCTACCAGTTTTTATTCTTTCGTAGAAAATCTAATTACATTTTTGGACCTCGGTGCACAAGAATCCAGTAAGTGTGCAGACAAGACGCAATGTTAATCTTGCAACAAATATACATTGCACCATGAATATAGCAGGGTTCTCGTTATATACGTCCTAGGCGCATGAAAATCAAGTTGGATGCGTTATTTTTGAAACCTGTGAGTCCCTGGGATGCGTCCTCTTTGTATCCCTTGAGTCCCAAACACATTGTTTTGCCTAGAAGATTCATGATCGTCAACATTGTTTTGACAGGAAACTAAACCAGAGGTCGATGTTGAAAAATTTATGTAATGTGTAGATCAATATTTTTGTTGACTGATAACTATTTTTTTTAAATTAAACATATTTCATCCTAAACATAATAATTCTGTTCAAACTGATTAATAAATATGTTATAGTTGCCGTTTTTTTTAAAATTTTACAAGTATTTGAAAAACTTGAATATTTCCACGTGTTGAACATCACATACTTATCGTTTGAAACAAACAAAGTAAAAATTTTTGAGAACTTGAAATGAAATGATAATATTTCATAACTGTTACTACTATGCATAATATGATCGTAGAACAGTGTGGATTTAAAAATTTTCAGATAAGAAAAATTTTACTGGTCTTCAAATGATTTAACATTTTTCTCGTACTGTGCATGTTGAACATCACGAAAAAACAAAGGTGAAAAATGTTTTGAAATTGAAACAAATCCGATTAAAAAATGATTAAAGAATAATTACTATTTAGCCAAGCTCATTATTATGAACAGTGTTCACATATTAAGACACAAAAAATTACATGCATCCTGGACTCATCAAAATCTATTGGGACTCACCATTTCGAAAAGTGATGAGTCCCAGGACTTATCATGAAATATTCCCAGTGAGAACCCTGTATAGTGAAGGCTTTTTTTCCATTCTTGCACTCTCTAGTAATCATGGTGTCAAGATTAGTCTTCTTTGATAAAGGGTAATTGCTGTAGCTTAAGTCGGACATCTATCCAACAACTCCTTTTATCATGTTTATTCCTTTGGAATATTAGTTTACATTGTTGAGGTGTTTCCATCAGTTCAATTCTAATTTTATTTTGTAATTCTTTGCTATTTTTTAATTTCTACAACTATGGTAAATTTTATTACTGATCTCTGTACGGCAGTTCAAATCTACAGAGTCTTGAAAAGGAATCTCTAACAAAATGGATGTGTGACTTAGGTTAATGGTAAGGAATTTTCAAAATTTGAATATTTCAAAGGAAAATCTGTTTATTTTTCATGCTAACCTGCATCATGTGTAAGTGAAAAATGTAGATTCTATGAGGTGTTGTTAGTCCTTTAATTTGTACAAAATAGAGTTAAACATTTTGTGAACAGAAAAACAGCATAACGTTTCAAGCTATCAAACTCAAATAGGCCCCTGGAACATCTTTCTGATTTGGTTGCCCACAGAATCACTTATAAAGCCTTATTAAATTTTTTTTTTACCAAATATCATACATTGAATTCAATTCTTACGGTACCTGCTTCAGGTGTACAGACTGGTGCTGTACGCATAAAATGATGAGTTCCAGGTGTGATAGAGATAATAAGGATTGATAAGGGATTGCAAGCTCTGACAAATTAAAAATTCACTCTGGACACAGAATCCTTGTGAGATTTTTATTAATGTGAATAATGTGACTTGGTGAGTATCACAATAATAAGAAATCTCTACCCATTACAATATCTGATACATATGGTTGGTTTTCTAATTTAACTTACCCAATTTATACATGCGGAACCAAGTCAAATACATTGTAAGAGATCATTACTCGATTGTTGTGAAGAATCAACATGATCAAGCAAGGCTAAAATAATTTACTTGGTTCAGAAAACAACTTTTCTATAGCCTGGTGGTCATTATAACTAACAAGTTGAACTTGGCTAATTTATGAAGAAATTTGTGTGCATAGACCTCTAAGCTTTCATGTCGATCCGGCCCCAAGTCGATCCGGCCCAAGTCGATCCGTCCCACGTCGATCCGGCCCAACGTCGATCCGGCCCATATTTAAAGTCGATCCGGCCCCAATAAAAAAATATATTTATAAGGAATAAAAATAAAGATATATATTAATTGTAATTCATAAATGTTTATGAATTTTATTATAATGTAAAAGGTGTACGGTAAATAAAAATGGCCTTTGACAAATATTTTCTTTAGATGAGTATAAAACAAGTAGGTTGATTATGTTTTCATTACAAGTTTTCAAGATTATTGGGTATAATTATAATAAAAACGTATATAACAGAATTTAGTACAATCAACAGACATCAACATTAATCAGCAGTAATTATCATTTTCTTTCAATTGACTGTGATCTTAACAAGTCTTTCATCATTTGTTTTTGTTGAATAAACAAACCAATTATAGACTAATGATTTGATGAAACAAGTCATTATATTATGAGTTAAATTTTATAGGTTCCATTGGACTGTTAATATTTATTTAGCTATTATGTGTGTGAATTGAATAAAATAAAAATCGCCATGACATTCAAAGTTATCATGGAAAATAACTTCATATTAAAATGTTGAAGCTGCTATACAAACAGACACAATCACACTCAGTTTCGTATCGATTTAAAATAATTCTTTGACTGGTACACCAATTCTTCACTTACCTGTTGTCATCCATCATCGATACTTTTTGCAAAATCCATTTATACTGTTAAAATCCTCCAAAGTATAGTTTATTCATATTTTATTATGGGGCCGGATCGACTTTGGGCCGGATCGACGTGGGCCGGATCGACTTGGGACGGATCGACTTTGGGCCGGATCGACTTGGGGCCGGATCGGTTTGGGGATGGAACAACCGGATACCACCTCTAACATGGCAACAAAAGGGAAGAAAGTCTTGCTCAAATTGTGTCAATCGAAACCTATCCATAATAAATGAAGCAATAATTTCAGAATTTACAGTAGCACTTTATATTAAATCTCTAGTGAAACCAATAGAATTTTGGACAACGTAAATGTTTAAGCCTTAAGGACGGATTAAACAAGGATTGCAATAGAACTCCCCCCTTTTTCATGTCTGTGCCAGGAAAGTTAAAGTTTCTGTTCAATTTATGGAATCTTATCTCAAACATTTGTTAAAATGATATTTAGAAAAATTCCAAAAAATATATGCAAAACTTAGCCAGCAGTGTAATTACAGAAAAAAGGTGAATTTTCTGGAACATTCTTATTTTGATATGGCTATGGCGACGACCATGTGAAGACATGTTCTTACCTTTCCTGCAGCAATGTTGCCTTTCTGTACAACCTTGCCAGTTTCCCTCTTGGTGTTTTGGTCTGTAAAATAAAAGAGAAGAATTGTCAATTCAATGATTGAAATTATATTGGATAATAAGGCGTCGCGATACAAAATAAAAGAAACTTACTGAGTACGATTATTCCAGACATGCTTTTTGTTTAGCCGGAAATCAAGTGGCGGCGTCAGAAATGAAGTCCGATAACTCAAATAACTTTCCCGCCATAATAATTTCACCGCAACTTGAAAAAAAACATTTTTTTTCATCGCTGCACTTTTCAAGTTTAAAATTTTTTAATCGTGCTCCATAACTTCCTTTTGTTATTTTTCTTTTCTCTACAAGGAATTTTCAAACAATTTCTTAAACGTAGAGTACATTAATCATACAAATTCAAATATATTTTAAAGACACCCATTACATGCAGAATAATCAAGTTAAATTTGGTACAAAAATGATTACAATGATAACAATGATTTGAATACAATTAAATCTATGAATAAAATGAAAAGAAAAAAAAAGGACACAATAATGTATATTCATATAAATATTATATGTTTCCACATTGACAAATACAGTGATCCTAAAAATATAGAAAGCTGGATTCAAATATTCTGTTTTTTCTGGTGCTGTCATAAGCACATATTAACAAGCACAATTATAAATAGCTAAATTATGCATCTGTCTTCTTAACAGTAAAATTTATAACTTTACTAAGATTCTAATAGTTGTTTTCGAACAATATTTAAATTATCAATTAAATTGCTCACTTGATTAAATATGTGATTATCTTCATTGGACATTAACCAAATAAATTGTGATTGATAATCTAAATTGTGAAAATTTTTGTAACTTTTAACTATGTTTGAAATGATGGAAACTCTCTCACTTTCTAAAGATGAACATTTTAGTAGAAAGTGGAGTTCGTCTTCCACATCTTTTTTACTGCAAAGATTACAAATTCTATCTATTGCTGAAGTCCCCTGTATCTACCTCTCTCTATTTCTAGATTATGGTTACTTATTCTGAATTTTGTCATCTGAATTCTCAGATTCCTATTGCCTATAGACAGATAAGGTTCAAAACTTATATTTCTCATAAAAAGTCTATATGTTCTTAGTTTTTTTTCCAAAATGACATATTTGTTCTGTCATCGTTTAAGGATGAATACCACAACTGATTATACTTTAATGTCAGTCTGTTCAAAATAAATCTTTTCAAATTGGATTGTGATAAATCTATGTCTAAGTATTTTCCTAATGAACTCATAGAATTATACCAACTTTTCTTATTATGGTTCGATAAGGATTTTGATACAAGGAGGGCTTCAGACAATAATTTGTCCTCTGTATTTGTTAAACGTGATAAGTATGACAACATATTTAACTATAACTTCAATAAATAATGGGTATCTCCCTAGCTCACCTGTCACTGCCATATTTGTGCTTCTTTTTCCTACTCGCAGTGAAAATTTACAGATTTTGGAATGAACTGATTCAGTTTGCAGTTCTTTGCATAATTTTTTCAAAATAACAATCTCCTATGTCAGTTAACTTTTTTGAATCTAAAGCGCCCCAAATTTCACTTCCATAAGTTAAAATTGGTTTCACTGAGTGGTCAAATATATGTTGTAAAGTACAAGGGCATGATTTTTGTTAGTTCGCCATATTTACCGTTTTTTGTCTGACCATATTAGTCTATTAGCTATTTTAGTTTCAAGATTGACAACGTGATTATTCTATAATGCAAACTGGTTTATACAATTATAAACGTATGTCGTTACTAGAAGCAGAAAATTAGCGCCCGAAATCAAAGAAATGCATTAAAATATCAATGTTTTTTTTTATAAAATTAAATTGTGTCACTGTGTAAATTAATAAACATGCATACTGCTGATTACGATGAATGGTATAGATGTCATCTGAATAACAATCACTGACCAAAAAGTCATTGACATAACGCATGCATGGCTTCCAGTGTATAACGCAACCACTTAAATATTCAAAGTTCAAGTTCAAATGGAGAAGGTGGGATGTTGCGTCAGAGTAGTCTATCACGTTGATGAGTCCTTGTTGGTATCTGTCTTTCAGTAGTTGAAGTCTGGTGTCTATTATTCTGTATCTTCGTCTTTTTGGTGGGTGGGCTCCTCCTGCTGCATACTGGATAATATTACCTTCTGTTAGTGCATGGGTCTGCTTCAGTAACACAATGATCTCATAGATGTAAGGGTGGGCATGTTGGAGTCTCTTCTTAATTTTGTTGTGCCATCCTTACAGGTCATGGTCCTTCTGTGTAGTAGTGGTTCCATAGAAAGTGGTATCCTTCAACCCAGAACTCTGTCACGTAATCAGTAAATGATGTTGTAGCGGGTATGTTGTCAGCTTCACCTATGTATTCTAAAGTTGTTAGCCAAACATCCATATGTAATACTTGGCTACTGAACAGTTGCATTTATGTTCTATTTGTTAGAATCTTTTCTTAGTTTCATTATTTAGCAGAATATAATATCTTTCATAAAATTTTACAGGTAAAATAATAGGTAAAAAAATATGACTATAATTCAGAAATAAACTATAATTGTTAAAACAACAATCCCCCCTATGTTTACATATGCATGTAATTAAAAGTGGGCAAACCAGGATGACACCCTTAAATATATTGTTCCATTTATTCACAAAGAATATTTAATATTTTATAATTATGTATTCAAGAGAAACTTATGTCATGATGATGTTGTTTTGATCAGAACCATTCTCGGCTTTTCGCTGAGAATACTACAGTGTTTTAAAATTATTTTTTTTCTCGCAAAATTGTAATCTAATAACTAAAAATTGGTAGCTATGCATCATTATTTGCCCCTTTAGTCAATAATAGTGCATAAATAACAGAAAGAGTGCCCAGCTAGATGACAAAGAAAAGTTACAGCGTTTACATTCATGTCAAATTAATTTTGAATTGTTCACTTACAGTATTAAAATGTGATTCAATTGAATATATCATTTTATGATTTCCTTATTTCTAATAACGGCATTTTTTTAAATTACCCATTGTGGTGTTATCTAGATGTTGTCGAAGTTGGAATACATTATTTTAATGCGCAAACTTAAAAAACGGAGTTATGTTTTTAATTTAGGTGTCACCACAACCGATATCATGACATTTGTGACATTAATGAATTTACTGCCAAATCCTACAGTTTTTGCAGAATGTAAGTGACTATATTATTTAAAAAGTATGACAAATGTCTTCCAGTTCTTTCATTTTGGCTAAATGCACGAGGAGGTTATGTACTGTTGTTGAATCATTGTGTCTTCTTTTGGTTTTCTATTTGAAAAAGGGGGGGGGGGGTGGGAGTTTGCAACACTTAAGCATTGCAAAAGATGGTATATTTTTGCACTGCAGCCGTTTGTACGAACGTGTCATTAGGCTAATGAGTCATTAAGTCTTCATTAGCCTAATGCATCATAAAGGCTTAATGAAGACTTAATGACCCATTAGGCTAATGCAACGTTCGTACAACCGGCTGCTGTTCGTGAAGTTGAAACAGTTGGTACACAAATGAAAACCCCACGATGAATAAAAGAGATTAAAATAGTTAAGCATGTGCTTGCATGATGTCGGATATCGTCATTACAGTATAGCGAGTCTTTATTTTCCATGCCATGGTCGATATATAAACGTCATTCAATAGCTGCGTTAGTGTTATACTATAGATCAGTTGGTTTAGTAGAGACAATTCAAGGGGTCCAGGATTCGAATCCCAGGTTGTAGAGTGGTAATTGTTAAGGATAATTCATTCTATAAAGATACATTGTTTTTGTTTTTCAACTGATCGAGATTAAAAAGGATGTCAGGTTAAAGGAGTACAAACATGGTTTGACTCGGCTACATATTTTAAAATGCGCCTGTCCGAAGTCAGGAATTTTATTAGATGTTGTCTTTCCTTGTGAATGTGTAACGCTTTTCACCTTAAAGGGATTTGGTGTTGCTAGTCCGTAATAAATTTATTCTTGACTTTTTTTAGATTATAAATATGAAGATGTGGTATGAGTGCCAATGAGACAACTCTCCATCCAAGTCACAATGTGTAAAAAGTAAACAATTATAGGTCAAAGTACGGCCTTCAACATGGAGCATTGGCTCACACCGAACAGCAAGCTATATATTAGCACGATTTAGATTGGCATATGACACATACATTTGCCTGTTATTGAGGACTGTTGACCTCTGTATATCTTTTTGGGTTTAGATTGCGATCTCAATCGAGTTTACCTGGGAGCTCTCCGAGGCTTTGTTCAGATGATGATGGACGGCTGTTTAACGTCCAGTGGCAAATCACATGTATAAGGAGGACGGAAACATGTTAATGTGATATGAATATGAACTCTGCGACGCGCTGAGTCCGATTTTTAAGGCGCTCGTTCACAATGTGACAGTCCTCAGCAAGAAGTGTCACCTAACCGTACTATAAGTTACACATATAAAAATAAGGAGATGAGGTATGATTGCCAATGAGACAACTATCCACCAAAGCTCAAATAAAGTGGATGTAAGCAATTTTATCTTACCTCCTATAGATTTCTGGGGATATGATTGGTTAAAGGATTACACGTGGTAACTACATATATTGATATAAGGTGTCCTAAAATATATGGGGTTAGTTACCATATGGGGTTAGTAAGGAGTTACTTCCCTTTCAAAACAAAAAAGAAATCTGAAAGGTTTCAACAGACGAATGAACGATTGAAATAAATTCATAAAACAAATTTAAAGCTAACAAGTTGTTATTGTTGGCGTTTGTTTTTTGTATAGACAAATGGAAGTAGGTTCTAAATACTAAGTATTGAAGACTTAATCACTTTGATAGGCCGCTAGTCTAAATACCACATGTGAAGATAGTCGGTAAGATAATTCGTTACACGGTGTGCTAGTGACCTAATACGATATATGATATATGGGGTCAGTAAATTTACTGACCCCATATATATCGTATTAGGTCACTAACACACCTTGTAACTAATAATAGGCAACCGTACGGTCTTTAACAATGCGAAAAACCCATACCGTATAGTCGGCTATAAAAGGCCCCGACATGAAAAATATGAAATCATCAATTGAGAAAACTAACGGCCTAGTTTATAACAAAACAATTTACGAAAAACAAATATGACAGACATGA